TGGAACATAGGGCTTCAGTAGCACGCCTTCAGTGCACTCTCTTCTCTGCAGTCTTCAAAACCTGGCACCACGACTGCCCACAAGCTTTCATTTCTTCCTCACGTGATCTCCACCATCTTACCCTCCAAAGCCCAACTTATCGTTTCCTATTTGGATTCCACTCGAGTACCTGGTCTGGCCTGGCGCATGATGTTCCCAATCGGCCTTCTCAGTCCATGCCCAATCCAGTCCATCTCCATTTTCTTCTGCATATTTGTTCAGCGATGAGTTCTTGGTTGATTCGTTGCCAGCCAGCCAGAGTTACTTGTTGCTTATTCTTTCTGGCCATCTGATCTTCAGTATTGCAAATCTACACAATTTTCTAGTGTAAGAATTTGATAGTTAGAAACGGTTTGTCAGGCATGGTAACACAAATAGTGTCAATAAATGAGCCGTCAAAAACTGATGAGTAGTGAGTATTTATCAAAATAGGTTTGGACAAGAAGTTTTGTAACATGACGACATAATTGGAAACTGAATTGTGATCGGACAGTGCATAACAACAAGAATGAGTAACAAATTACTTAAGAAGTGAATAGTGTCAAAATAGAGAAATCAAAAGAGAAAGGGGGTAGAGGAGACTGAAAACTAAGACCATGAAAGGAGAAGGGGCTGAACAATCCTCTTCTGATACACAGTTCAGGTTCCTTCATATGGATGACAACAGCTTCGGCGATACGGAGAATGTGAAGACATGGCCTTTGTGAGGTTTCTTTTCACTTTATAGATGACTTTAAACGGAGAGGTCTTTAAGAAGGGGTGATTCGTGTTTACTATATGTTCAATTATAGCGCTGCTTATTGCTCCATTGTTACCTCTTTGTAACCACACGGGACAGTGTACTTGAACGCTTTTGGATAACAGTGGCATCGAACGACCTACATACCTGGTTCCACATTAGGATCAAATTTAAAATGTTTCGACTGAGCCACTCCATGGCTTCACACACAAAATATATCTACATTGCTTTGCCCTAAAAATCGATCTTTAATGTTGGTAGCCAATTTCGTGTGTACATATCAATTTGCCCGGTCCTGTGGAGCCAGATACATAGGCCATGGGTAAAGACATACTGTGAAATGTTAGTGTCAGCGCTCTTCATCATGACTCAGTAATAGCCAATGGAAATCTGTCAGTGGTGGCATATTACGAAATTTAGCTGATAGTGGACATAGTTCCAGAAGATTCGTTCACATCGGTTGATAGAATAGTACGAAATCTTCCGAAGGATGTCAGGAAGTGCTAGCTCTACTGAAGCCCTGGTAGTGGAGAATTTGAAAGCAGAGTTTTGCATATTGAATTAACTTTATCACTCATTGTTCACCTGAACCTTTTTGATTTTCATATGAAGGTTTTTCGTCACTAACTTCTTACTCCCTTCTAAACTAACAACAATCTACTCATTTTATTGCAGATGCTTCAAGTCTTGGTTATAACTAAATCAGGTTTCTTACAAAACGTCCATTACTACATTATTTTCCTGATAACAACTTAATAAGAGTTACTGACTGAGACTGTACAACTTCTGGTTATGGCACAAAAGTTGGATACCTGACTATTCCATGATCATTAAGAGTGGGTGTTTATACATGGAAATAACCTTGATTTGTTGACTTGCTGATATGTGAAGTGAAGCAGTTTTTATCGTGAATGTACACCAGTCAAAAATCTACTTGAAGCGAAACAGTATTGCAAATTCAGAGCTTCTTGAAGCATCAAGCCTAGGGTCGTCCCGTCTTGTGACTAGCACCTTACTATTCAGTCGTCGGATTAAAACTATGATGATCATTTCGTAACCACCACCCTTAATGAGTGTCTGTGCTCATATCCAACTTTTGTTGATGTCATTTATCACAATTTTTCATTAAAGTTTGGATGGTTCCTCTCAAAAGAAGTTACTAATGAGCAATAAGAAGTTCAAAATTCGAACAAAACAGCCGTTTAATGTTCCCTGTTTTTCAACACTTCCTTAACTTTAAGTTGGTATTCATCGCAGACTGACATAAGTTGCAGAAACATTGGAAACCTCGGAGTACTGAACAGCTGTTTCGTCCTAGTATGAGACTGTTCATTAGTGCCACCCATGACCCCGCCGGGGATCGAACCCGCGACCTACAGGTTCTGTCGCCACTACGTTACAATCGAGTTAATGGGTCGGAATCCATTGGTCCATATTTCCAACCTCTGTCAGTTCTCGACATACCGAGACCATCATCCAATGTCATCGTTGAGTAGTTGTCCTCATGGCCATTACGTTTGCCCCATTGGTCATGACTTCTCGCTGGAACTTCGGGAATCACCCCTGGAAGCTAGTCACCAATGAGCACCAGTCCAAATGAATTTTGAGGGGTTTGTGGGGATTTAGAGATATTTCAAGTTGGTATTCATCGTAGACTAACATCAGTTGCAGGGACAATGGAAACCTGGGAGCACTGGACAGCTGTTTTTTTAGTACTAGTATGGGATTCTTCATCAGTGCCCACCCAGGACTGACGTCAGTACACGATGGATACCAACTTGAAATATCTCTAAATCTCCACAAATCCCCCAAACTTCAACTTACATAACTGCTTACAATTTTGGATATAAACCACCTTGAAGTCAATCAGTTTGTAATAAATTTCTCAAATGAATTATAGTTTCAAGACGTTTAAAAATTGAGAACAGTTCAAGAAAAAACAATTGACAGATTCGTCCCTTCGATGTTATTTGAAAACATATTCTATTTGAAGGCGAAATTCGGTGTTGTGAGGTCAATATATCTTTGTATGTAACTTACAATGATCATTTGCGTAACAGTAGTTCTCTTTATTATAACACCAATGACGTGTCATCGTTGTGTGTGAATTTTTGTATGAAACTGTCTTTATGATCAAAGTCCACTCATTTATATTTCTCCCTGCCTAGGTGTTTTGAATGACTTTTGAATTTATTTTTATTCTTTTAATGATAACCTAATCTATTTTCGACAAGAGTATTTTAAATGCCGCAGCTCAAGATAATTTGATGTCGTGTGATGAATGTGTCTATGTTCAGTCTCAAACAAACTAAACTCGAAACTGTTGAGTGTTTGATTTACTTCACCCAGTGGTATTCTGATGTATATTCCATTTTCATGTCATACATCAGTCTTATGATGGTCAATATCTTAACTCATCAATAAATGAACAGATTTTCTCACACTACATATATCGCGATAGAATATCACAAACTGAAATCTTTTTTTCATTGGCATTTGGGACCTAGAAGACGAACATTTATTTTTAACTTGGTTAACAATTGTTCTAAGCAAATTTAAAATGTCGATATTGCCAAAGAGGTTACAGAAAAACAGCATGCTGTGTCACAAATATCACAGAATATTTTAGGGGAAATAGCTTCTATATTTTAGATTATTATATAATATTGTTTAGAAATGAGTCTTTCAATAGATTATTAATCTTTTTATGGTGGTTTTATATATTCATGTCAGTGAAAAAATAGTTTTGGAGTTCAAACGAGTCATAAAACTGTTTCTTATTGTTATTCGATGATAATTTGACCTTCAGAGAAGTTTGATTTTAATTAGCATTTGACTATTTGAGGTAACCGTGGTTTACTAGACTAGTATTTATACTGGGTGATGATTGAAGGTGAAATGAAAATTTGGCTCGAATCCGGCCGCAGTTTGACCTAATAGAGTTGAATAAGTTGAGCATTCGGTAAATGGATTATAAATAAAATATATCTGTAAGATCCCAACGAAGTGAGGAGATAAATTTCTGACGTTTTGCGACTTCATGGAAATCGCTTCTTCAGAGAATAAAACCTGTACAAGTTGTCGACTATCTAAGTAGTAAATGGTAAATAGTAAATCTTACTTTAGTGCTATTGCTTGCATTACACCGTCGTTGGTTGGACAGAATTGATCAGTTTCTGTTGGTATATGGGCTCCTGTGCGGACACCTTGATATTGCCTGTGTTCTTAACTATATGCTAATGATGGATAGTGGCTAGTAGTGGAATCCAGCATGCATATTTCGTCCTACTTGGGACTCGTCAGCGTGATGTACCTGCCTCCTAGTGAGCAATTTTTTCTACCACCTGGATTCGGACTCGGGAGGGATCGCTTCAAACGCGAGAGGGTTATCCCGAGTCCGAATCGCCGTGGGAACATCATTACTCACTAGGAGGTAGGTACATCCAGCTGGTGAGTCACAAATAGGACTAAATGCGCATCCTGGATTCACCTGATAGCCACTGTTCATCGTTACTTAATAACAAATCTCCACCACTTACTATTTAAACAGCTGGTAACTTGCACAGGTTTTAATTTCTGGGGAGGCGATTTCCTTTTTCCACTTCTTTGGGATTTTACAAATATATTTCATTTATATTTTGTAAATTGCTTGTAACTACTTTAAACTTTTAAGTAGGCAAAAAGAAGACAAAAACAGCACTCTCACCTGACGTGTTCGTGTGCAATTTTTCCGATGACATTATTATGTAAAACTGTTAACAGAAGATATATAAATCGTGTTTTTGTTGAAACATTTCTTTACGGTAAAACTTAGTGTGAAGATATTGACATGATAATTTGGTGACTCACTTTCACCATACTTTGTTTCTCTATTCCGTTTACGAGTGATTAACTCTCATTACAAAGTTATACAATTCAACACAAGATTGAATACGAATTCTATATGTATTCTTTTGAACTCTACATGACCTGTCTCCGTCGTTTAATCATATAATGGAACGGCAAATTAGTTGATGCTGTACGTGTTCCATTTAACAATTGTATTGTCTAAAGGGTTTCAGTATGAGTCTTTTTCATATTGTTTCTCATTAACTTTCAAAGATTTTTACAACTTCTCCCTTATCAAGCCAGACTTATTGTATGAGCTTAAACAGCTGCTACCTTTCTCCTTTATAACAGTAATCTGTTTTAATATGCTTTATATTATCTATTTCCTTTATAGGGTTCTAAAAAATTCCATTGATTCTACAGTCGCTGACCGTGGACCAACTCCTGATTTTCGTCAAGAAATGGCTATTTTCTACGTCGTCTTCTTTATTGTCTTTCCATTCTTCTTTGTGAACATTTTCGTTGCGCTTATCATAATCACATTTCAAAATCAAGGTGAAAATGAATTAATTGAACTGGATTTAGATAAAAATCAGGTTGGTTATTTATACTACTTACAAATGTTTAAAGTAGTACTAGGAGTTGAATAGAATCTGTTACTGTGCTATACCGAGACTCAAAGCTTTTTATGCGTATTTCATATCATTGTTGTCAGTTTTCTCCCGTGATTTTGCATAGAAAGCACTGAACGCCGTGTTTTTATGCAGGCAACCATTCAATGATTCTAAATTAGCCTATTTAATGCTACAGCTCCTAGCCCCCTACTGATGTTTCGCGCAAAAATACCTTCAAAACATTGTTGAAAATAAATTCTTCAGAATAATTCTTCTTTAAAAAGAGGCCAAGCCAGTTATACAGTATTTTCATGATTAAAAATCACTGCTATGTATCTCATTTGAGTTATTCGTTAATTTGTCATCATCAATAAAATATATAAATCATAAGGTTTGTTGGATTTCAGCAAAAGTGACACTTATTTCTTGTCCAAACTGCTAGATGTAACGAATCCTTCTTGGGTAACCTGGTGTTAAAAGTGTATTTTTGTTCTCCTTAGGCTAAGTGACATTTAATGACCATTTTCATACCGAACTGAGTTCAAACACTTATGTTATATCCCAACTTATCCAGTCCCACAGAATTTGAGTAATTAGGTGTATAGTGTACATAAGAGATATTATATTTGATTCTTCTTTTAAATCTCAAAAGCCTCATTAAAACTTTTTCTCATTCATCGGAAAAACGAAGAGTTTCTTCATGATACAAGTGTAGAGGGTCTTGGATTTTAATCGATTATCTATCAAGTTTTATAAAAATAGACGTGACATCTAGGAAAATGTTTTCGACAATTTCACTTACTAAAACTGTGCCACCGTATTTTAAATCATTAGAACAAAAAAGGAGTTTAATGTTAATTACTTGGGGCACATAATTTCTATAGTGTTCAAGAGTAGAACAGAAACTCTCCGTGGATAGAAGAAAACTATCACTTTGACCATACTAATGCTAATGAATGCATGTACTCTTTTCGAACACACAGATCTGGTCTAGGTAGTGTGAATCGTCAGTGGCTCAACTATGTATAGATGATGTAGTCAAATGTCTTTGGAGTCGTGGGGAGGTACTTTTGCAAATTACTTCGAAGGAATTACTAGAAGCAGCCAGATGACTCGAGATGACGAGGTGTCCAGGAATAGAACCATCTAAATTTTTCTCTCTCTTTCAGATGTACGATTTAGACAATGTTCCAAAATACATTTACTGACTTGACGCTATGTACCACCATTACACTTTGCTTCACAAGAACAATTAAGATGATAGATGCACATTTGGTTGACCAAAAGACGTACTGAGTCCTTAATGAATTCAATGAAAAATTTAATTCTCAGGCTAGGTGCGTGAAATGTCTTCCTCAAAGTTATTGAGTAGTGATTTTTGAGAATATCGGCTACCATGTCGCCTCTGAGGAGTTTCTTTTGAAATAATTGGTACCTTTAAAATTTGTTGCCTTTCTTTCATGTTAAAAGCAGTAAATCTATGTGAAGATCCGTTTTCTATAGGCGTCCTATTTAAAAATCACAGTTCATTATTTAGTGTATCTTTAGAACAGATTTTCTGAATCCTCTAATGAGTGTAAAAAAGCTTTAGCAGTTGATAACTTGCTGATCTAGTGTGTAGAAAAAGTCAACAAAATCTTCATACGAAGGCTTTTTCAACCAATCGCTTTCCTTCAAAATCTCGGGAAAAAGTATGTGAACCAACGTATAAGTATCAGGATTTGAATCTAATGTAAGAAACGACAAGACTGAGACTCAGGAACTACTGTTAATTATGATATCTTGTACAGTAGTGATGAAATATTGTATACTTTCCAATAAAATAGTCATTTGTACAATGTGCTTCACTGCCTCTTCTGCTTCTATCTCTATTTTCTTTTATTACGCCCACGGTGTCTTTAGCGTTTATCCGAGCAGAATATTTACCCGTCGCTGTTAATTGCTTATGATTTCTGCCGACCTCTCAAAATATACTACTTATGTCCATTCTTATCTGTAGCACCCACCACACTAGTAGGTTAGGAAATAGCCAAGGCCATTGTAATATACATTAACCTTCTAATTTGTATATATTATTGACGTTACGGTTGACGTTGTAAATACACCTTTCGGTATATCACACATTTTTTTCCATTGATGAGAAACTGAGTGACCATTAAAGGTGGGATCTGAAGGTTATTGTACAAACGTCCACAGTAAAGATGTAAAAAGTGGCAGCTAATGTTGTAAAACTTGTCCAGTTAGTACCGGACTCAGACATGGGAACATTGAATTTGTTCTACACTCTAGAGTGAATCTTATACATGAATGTAAGTGTTGAAGTGGTTGTTCAAACCAAATTCTTCATCGCTGACGATAAAAATTTCTTCAGCTTGTAAAAGTATATTTGGCTGATTAATGAAGTGAGGATACTATTTTCACTGGAGGTCATAAAGCAATCAGCTAAAAGTGAACCAAGAGGGAATCCAATCCAGAGGCCAGCGGAGGCACTAACAATTCATCAATTCAAGCCTGATCTCTGAGTGCAAAAGAAGTATGTTCAATCTCTCATCTTACCATGGTCTTAATACTTTCATTTTTTTTCGATTTAATTATAATTTAGTTTATTATTATCACCTTCATTATGACCCTTAACTCATTCTTCACCTTCTTTACACCTATCTATCAAGCGGACACTCAATATTTGCGTTTCTTATCTACCAACAATTTTCACCTTGTCAAACTCCTTGCCTTCCTCGATATTTCTACTGTCTTAGATTATTACGTAACCACTTTGCATTCCTGATTCGCTTTTTTTGTAGTATTTGATTAGTGATTTAATTATACCCTACTGTTTTATAATAGACTGTTATATATTTATGATACATATAAATACGATTGTACAGCCTTAGAAAATGATATCGTCGAAAAAGAAAATTTTCTTCGCTGAATTATCTCTTCTCCATTGGCCATCCTTTTCTTCATAGAATTCTTCGTTGGACCTCGACCGTATTTTGCAAGTGCATCTGAAAAGCAGTTATTTCTAGTAGTCGACAGGTATGACTAGGCTTAAGTATTGGACTTATTGTAGTCACATTTGAAGCAAATAGTCTCAGCTAAGAGTGTATTTGTAACGGGAAGAGCAATAACCAGCGGCAGGATTTATTTCTTGCGAACATTGATTCAATGAAATCGAAGTTGTTCTTCTAGCTGAATTTACTCATATGCTTCCCACCGAGTTCAACAATATTTAGAAAAATTAGTTCCTTTGATGGATTTGCATAGTGTAATAAGAAGATGGAGGTTATCTGAGAAATATGTGATGTATTCGTGCAATACATTTCGAACAATCTGATCACACATTTACTTGTTAGGACAGTTTAGATGAAGGCTGAAAATAGGATAAAGTAAAATAAATAAATTAAGATAACAAGAATAAAGTATGTATCAGCGAAGAAATATTTCTTTCCAACGACTTCATGATCAGGCTGTACAGTCGTATTTATACTGAGTAAAGTGACAGATAATTGCACTAGAAAGTTGCTCAGACAATATGCAAAATATACAATCGGTGGAGGTGGTGGTATTTGTTCAAGTGGAAGAGATAGAAAACGGGTCACTGAAAAGGAACAAATAGATAACAAGTCGTGAGATAAGCGACAAGTGCTGACAAAGAATTGTAAAACGGTGATAATTAAGCTGAAACGTGTACAATAGGTCAATGATTAAGGAATGAATTGAAGAGTGAAATATGGTCCAATTGTTGTCAATGAAGTGAAAATTGATGATAATGGTGATAATAGAAGAGAAGTATACCAAAGTGAAGTGAACTGAAATTGACAAAATCAACAAAATGAATTGTTAAGGCCAAGGTAGAGAAAGTGGAGGAATAAGACATTTTCACACCTCCCTTGACATCAAAATGAGATGAAGATTACCGAGAAGGGTTAAAGGTAAGGACAAACTGTTTTTGAATATACAAAGGGAGTTTTAAGTTTCGTCTAGCTAAGGCTGTAATGAACCTAAGTATACGGTCTTGATGGCCTCTATAACAAAAAGGTTCACTTCCCTTTCGAAGGTGATCATTTTCGACAAGTTGATGGTGTCGTTACAGGCAGCCCTTTTAGACCATCGTTGGCTGGTATTTATTTATCACAAGTAGAAATTTTGGCTGAGAATCGAATTAGCGAAGTCCCTCTGGACTTCGATGATATCTTAGTTATGCGTAACAAACGTGAGGAGTCAAAAAGTTTATCAGATCCATTTAACACCATACAAAGCCACATTAATTTGTCATATGAAGCAGAAAATAATGATCAGATTCCTTGTATTGAAATGCAATGAACTAGAAGGGAAGATGTGTCGATAAAAAGATCATTGTATAGAAAATCTACGTAGACCAGATGGCACTTAAACTTTCATAGTTTCTGTCCAGTACAGTGCAGATGAGGTTTAGTAAAATGCCTGTTCAAAACAACCCAATATATCTACACAACAGATACATTAGAAGAATTCAAATTTTTAAAAGAGACTGATAGAAAACGCATATCCTCTGGAGTTCATCAGTAGTTATAAAAATGTCTCAACGGTGAGAACTAAGCAGTATTCTGTCCCGAAGAAGGACGTTTACATCACGCTACCGTATAAGGGGAAACCAAATAATGTGATCTTAAGATGAACACTCAGTTCATTTATTAAAAAGATATACTATGCAACTAAGCTCAACATTATGGGGAAAACTAAACCTGTGCTTTAAAACAAACCTTATCACTACATAGAAGATTAGGTCCCATCCCTCTGTATATACCAATTTACATGTGTGTGCGGGGTGCATACATTAGGAGGGGTAATTGAACTGTGAAGTCTAGGGTGGTGGGACAGATCGCAGATGGCTAGCAAAAAAATCATATTCACATAATCCTATAAATGCAGAGGATAGACAGACATCACCGTCAATAGGTAGGCATATTATAGAAACAGGTCACAGCATTGACCCCAAAATT